GCTCTTTGGGGGTGAACCATCAAAAGGAAGATCTCCCGCTCCCGCTCCCTCTATTTCCCTGTCACTCTGCCTTACAAATAAATAAATCCTTAAAAAGAATAGAAATTTTAGCATATTAGCACAGAATATGTTGCTGTATACTCCTTTTAAAAATTATAGATTTATGGGCCCGGCACTGCAGTGAGCAGGTAAAGCCACCGCCTGCAGTGCCGGCATCCCATATGGGTGCCAGTTCTAGTCTCAGCTGCTCCTTTTCCAATCCAGCTCTCTACTGTGGCCTGGGATAGCGGTAGAAGATAGCCCAAGTCTTTGGGACCCTGCACCCGCAATGGAGATCCAGAAGAAGCTCCTGGTTCCTGGCTTCGGATCAGCACAGCTCTGGCTGTTGCAGCCATCTGGAGAGTGAACCAGCGGAGGGAAGACCTCCTCTCTCTCTCAGCCTCTGCCTTTCTGTAACTCGCCTTTCAAATCAATAAATAATTTTTAAATAAATAATGAATCTATTGGAAAGGCAGAGAGATGGACACAGTTGTCTGGCATCTTTCTCACTGTGCCGGGTGCCCGGCTCCACTGTGTCTTCAGCTCCCTCTACACTGCCTGTGTCCAGATGTCCTCTTCTTTGGATGCCAGCCATACGAGATTAGAGCCCACCCTAACGACCTCATTCTGACTTACTCACCTCCTTAAAGACCCTGTCTTCAAACCCAGTCACATTGTGAGGTACTGGGGGTGAGGATTTCAACGTACGAACCGGGAGGTAGCACAGGAATTTCTGTTAAGAGAAAACTGACCTGTAGAAAAATTAAGAAAATAAGTTGCCAGTGGGTCGTCATGGCTGAGCGGTTAAGGCAATGGGCTTGAAAATTAGCAGCTGCTAACTTCAGTCCTTGGGAAGGTTCATTTTCCTCCCGACTCGTCTCTGTGCATAGTTAACACGCACTGTGGGTTCTGCTTCGCTTGTTTCGCTTCGCAGCATCAGAACGTCCCTGTGTAATTTTAAAACGCTGCTGTAAGTATCCCTTTGCACAGCTGAATAAATCACCCCCCGAGGAGTGCCCGTAGATTATTTAGGTTTCTCCCTGTATTTAAGATGATTTCGCCTTGGTCGTGTCTCATTCCTGGTCTTCTAGCCTTAAGGCAAGGCAAGGTTCCTCAAAGCTCTGGGCTACACGTAAAGGACATGGCCCCTTTGGGGACCCTGTGGCCCCTGGGACCCTCGGCAGCTGAATCCGGCCTGGGTCCCCGCTTCCCCTTCCTCCCGCAGCGAGGTGTCGCCAAGGAGGCAGCGCTGGTTTCCAAGCAATCTTCTCTGTGTCGAGGGCGAATTCCAGGCTTCCCGCAGAGGATCCTGCCTGCGTGTGTGAGCCCCTGGGCTCCGGGGACAGCACAGGGCTCCGGGGAGCTGCAGCCAGCTCTTCATGGCCCGTGAGCCTCTCTCCCGCTCCATTCACTAACCCTCTGCCCAAAAGATGGCCAGTGTCTTAACTTCCTCCACCTAGATCTGGCCTGCTTTTGAGCTTTTTTCAACAGAGGTATAACTGAAGGGCATCAGAAGATGTCACCCCAAAACATGCCTCCGTGACATAAATATGTTTGAGCCAAAGACAGCGGAAAAGCAGCAAGTGGGGGAAGAGCTTTCTCCACCTCGCTCCCCTTTCCTCTTGAAGACAGGACGTGAACTCTCCCTGGCTGGAGACCAGAGACGGCTCTGAGGGACGCTGTGGCTGTCTCCCTGCCTCGGCTTACCCCCTGCATTGCTCTCCCACGGTCCCCACCTCTGGAGGCCTGAAACCCCTCCCTCTGTCTTGTCCCTTCTCTAAAACTGATGGTGTTTGATTGGGGAGGCTGTGTGAGTCTGAGCTTCAAGTCAGTTGCCGTGGCGGGTTGCCCTGTGTGACAGTCACTGCCCAAGCCCATGAACCCGCTCGTTCATCTGTACGGGGGTCTGTCCTGCCTGCACACTCATGAAGGCGGGGAAGAAAGTCTGTGTCCTCCCCAGCCATGCCCCTGTCCTTTCTGTTGCTAGTTGGCGTCCACCAGGCAACCTTAGTTTGTTAGGCTCACCTTGTGGCTGGACGTCTCTATGGCTGATTGATTTCATTTTGTGAATATACCACAGTGTTTATCCATTCAAGCCTTTTGGTGATTTTTTTCAATGAGAGTGTATAAGAGCTCTGCTGTTTACTTGTTCACTCCCCAGTTGCCCACAGTGGCCAGGGCTGCATCAGGGTCAAAGTGGGGAGCCAGGAACTCCATCTGTCCCCCACGTGGGTGGCAGGGACCCAATCGCTCAGGCCATAACTGCTGCCTCCCAGGGTCTACACTAGCAGCAGCAGAGCTGGGACTCAAATCCCAGTGCTCCAGTATAGGAGCAACTTTTTCATAATCCTAAGCAGAAACTCCCCACTAAACAGTAACCCCTTCCCCTATCTCTAGCTGATACTACTATGCTGCTTTCTTTTTTATGTTTGTTTGTATTTATTTACATCTAGTTGAAATAGAGCAAGAGAGAAAGAGATTTTCCGTTCACTGACCACTCCCCTAATGCTTGCAACAGCCTGGGCTGGGCTGGGCCAGAGCCAGGAGCCTGGAAATCCATCTGGATTTCCCATGTGGGTGGCAAGGGCCCAGGTACTTCAGCCGTCATCTGTTGCCTCCCAGGGTGCATTAGCAGGAAGCTGGATCAGAAGCGGAGCAACCGGGACTTGACCCAGCACTCTGATATCGGGTGGCGGCAACATAAGCTGTGGCTTAGCCTGCTGCACCACAACACCTGCTCTATCTGTTACCTTTCGTCCCTGTAAATCTGACCACTCCAGGCTCCTCATATCTGTGCAGTCACAAAGTGTGTGTGCTTTCGTGACTGACTTATTTCACTTAGCACAGCGTTCTTAAGGTTCATCCATGTTGTAGGATGTTTGAACCGTATCCCTTTAAAATACCCCCTGTGTGTATCTACCACGTTTTGTTTGTTCATCTGTTGATGGACACTCTGTGAATAATGCTATTATGAAAACTTGTTTACAAGTACCTCTTTGACTTCCTGCTTCCATTTCTTTTAGGTCTGTGGCTACAAGTAGAATTGTCAGGTCTATGGTGATTCGACATTTAACTACCAGCCATTCCCCACTCCCCTGCTTCACTCCACTTTCCTACCAGCAGCGCAAGAGGGTTCTAGTTTCTTCACATCCTTGCCAACCCTTGTTATTTTTGTTTAACTACTAGATATCTTAGTATAAAGCAATATCTCATTGTGATTTTGATTTACATTTCCCTAATGACTAATGATATTGAGGATTTTTTTTCTTTTTTAAAATTTATTTCATTTATTTGAAAAGCAGAGTTAAACAGAGGACAAGAGAAACAGATTTTCCAACTGCTGGTTCACTCCCTAAATGGCTGTATTGGCCAAGGCTGGGCCCAGCTAAAGCCAGGAGCCTGAAACTTTATCTATGGAAGCAAGTATTTGCATTCCTGGCACATAAGCAGGGAGCTGGATCAGAAATAAAATAGCCAGGACTCAAACCAGCACTCATGGGGTGCCAGCGTCACAGGCAGCGGCCTAACCACTGCGCCACTGTGCCGGCCCTGAGCGCTGTTCATGTGCACATTGGCTGTGTGTATTTTCTTTGGATAAATGTCTTTTCAAGTTCTTCAAATTTTTTTCAGTTGATTTACTTCTTGTTGAGTGTTCTTTATGTATTCTTTTTTTGTTTGTTTTAAAGATTTATTTATTTTTTTTATTTGAAAGGCAGAGTCACAGAGAGGCAGAGGCAGAGGCAGAGAGAAAAGTCTTCCATCTGCTGGTTCACTCCCTAAATGGCTGCAACAGCTGGAGCTGAGCTGATCTGAAGCCAGGAGCCAGGAGCTTCTCCCAGGTCTCCCACACGGGCACAGGGGCCCAAGGACTTAGGCCATCGTCTAGTGCCTTCCCAGGCCATAGCAGAGAGCTGGATCGGAAGTGGAGCAGCCGGGCCTCTAACTGCTGTGGGATGCTGGCGCCCCAGGCAGAGGCTTAGCCCACTGCACCACAGCGCCGGCCCCTACGTATTCTTAATTTAGAATTCTACTTGTTATATTCTTTGATTACTTTATCATGTTCAAAATTACTTTTAGAGTTAAAAAATGAAACCTCATCTGTTTTCCTTTTGGGTTTTAAGGAAAGATTAGTTTTCAACCAAAATACGAATGCTAAGGGGTTAAAGGGCAGCCTTTACAAAGGCCAGTTTGGAGACCCCCACCGGCGTGTATGTGGCCGGGGACAGTGCTGCTCCCGGGTGCTTGCTATCCTGCAGCCCGGCGACGCTGTGAGCACTGGGCTGCAGCCTGGTGCTGATGGAGCATGGGGCGTGGCCCCCTGCATGTTCCCTGGTTTCCTGCTTCGGCCACACAGCAGGGTGAGTAGCAACACGGACAGTGACTGCCCCCGGTGTGGCTGGGACTCCGGCAGACCTGTCTTCCAAGCTGCAGGGAAGCTGGTCCCTGCCTGGGGGCGGTGTTACAGAGCCTCACCTGCTCTGCTCTCTGGCTGGTGAGTGGTAGTTACCCACTCAGAGTGCTTGTTTACAGGGTGGCCAATGAGGGGAGGACTGAGAAGGAACCTGACAAACACACGAGCAGAGGTTGTCCAGTGACCTGTGTGGGCAGCAGTGTGACAGGATGACCCTCAGGAAATCACTTGCCTCTAGCTGTGACCTTGAGTTGGCCACCTGGGGCCACTGTCACTGGATGTCTGCGATCCTGTTCTCTGACTTCAAGAACAAAGAGGAGCTCAGTCCACAAGCTGACCTCAAAGGGGCCCCGCCCTCTGGAGACCAAACTTGGAAGCCCCGTTTCGCCTTCGTCACGCTGCTGGTGGGAGGAAGTGAGCCAAGTCCCTCGTGGCAGCCACTTGGTCACAGGGCTTGATCCAGGCAGGACACTGACGTCAGGTCTTGTGTCCCCTGGTGTGGCTTCCGGAAGCCCCTGCCTCTAATCCTCGCTCTCTCTCTTCCCCACAGTAGTTTTCGAAGGTTGCCCTGGACAAGAGTCAGCCCTGCCCAGCGCCGAAAATTACTTCTCTGGGCAGAATGGCGGCACCGGCCAGGTACAGCATCGTGTTTACCTGTGGAACAGGAGAAAGCTACCCTCCTCCCCCAGGCATTCCAGGACCACCACTGGGCAGGACCACCACTGGGCAGGAGCCCTTGCTTGCTGGGGCCAGGGGAACCACCTTAACCCTTCAGGGGAGGTAGTGCTTGCTTCTCCCCAGTAGGGGCACCAGAGAGTCAGGCCAGGAGGCCAAAGAGATGCCTTGTCAGGACCCACCTGCTGCGCTCTCCCTGGGATTCCTCCCCACTTTTTCCTCCTTTTCCTGTGTCTTCCACACTGACCCCAAGTGATGGCAACTCCAATTCGGGACTGCCAACCCCATGAGCCTCTAGGAAGATGGACCTGAGGCCCTTGGTCACTCTTCTGTGTTTCTTGTCACTTAACTTTTTTTTTTTTTTTTTAAGATTTATTTATTTATTTGAAAGGCAGTGTCAGAGAGGCAGAGAAGTCTTCCATCCGCTGGTTCACTCCCCAAATGGCCGCAACAACCAAGGCTGGGCCAGGCCAAAGCCAGGAGCCGGAGCTTCATCCGGGTTTCCCACATGGGTGCAGGGGCCCACGCACTTGGGCCATTCTCTGCTGCTTTCCTAGGTGTGTTAGCAAGGAGCTGGGCCAGAAATGGAACAGCCAGAACTCCTACCAGTACCCATATGGAATGCTGGCGCTGCAGACAACAGCTTAACCCACGGCAACACAGCACCAGCCCCTCACTTAATTTTTTTGAATAGCAAACTTAGTCACATGGTTCAGAAATAAAAGATATTACAAAGTTAAGTCATGAAGGACTGGTGTCATGGCACAGTGGTTAAACTGCCACTTGCGATGCTGGCATCCCATGTGAGCACCCATTCAAGTCCCAGCTGCTCCGGGTCCCATCCAGCTCCCGCTGCTGCACCTGGGAAGGCAGCAGAAGATGGCCCGGGTACTTGAGCTCCTCCTGTCCACATGGGAGACCTGAATGGAGTTCCTGGCTGCTGGCGTCAGCCTGACCCGAACCCTGCCATTGTGGTCATTTGGAGACTGAACCAGCAGATGGAGGATTCTCTCCCCACCCCCCAGATCTGCCTGTCAAATAAACAAATACATTTTTTTTTTTTTTTATTTTTGACAGAGTGGACAGTGAGAGAGAGAGACAGAGAGAGAAAGGTCTTCCTTTGCCGTTGGTTCACCTTCCAATGGCCGCCGCTGCAGCCGGCGCACCGCGCTGATCCGATCGCAGGAGCCAGGATCCAGGTGCTTTTTCCTGGTCTCCCATGGGGTGCAGGGCCCAAGCACCTGGGCCATCCTCCACTGCACTCCCTGGCCATAGCAGAGAGCTGGCCTGGAAGAGGGGCAACCGGGACAGAATCCGGCGCCCCGACCGGGACTAGAACCCGGTGTGCCGGCGCCGCAAGGTGGAGGATTAGCCTATTGAGCCACGGCGCCGGCCTAACAAATACATTTTTAAAAAACAATTGCATGAAGTTACACAATGAAACATTTCCCCTCGTCTCTGTCTCCCTAAAGTCCTCTCCACCCCTCCAAGACAAGATGCTTTTAACCATGGTGGCCAGTGTCTTTCCAACTGGAGCTATTTATACTGTGTGTGCTTTGTGTACATACAGATATGAAAATACTCTTCTTTCCTCCTTTATGAAAACTAACATACTGTTCTCAAGTCCATGCTTTTTTTCTCCATTATTTATTTGAGAGGGGCGGAATGCATGCGAGTGAGCAAGTGCACTCCCCCAAAGGCTGTAATGGCTGAGGCTGAGCCCAGGCTAAAGCCAGGAGGAATGCAGTCCGGGTCTCGCAGGTGGGTGGCCAGACTCCTGCCGCCTCTGTCGTAGAGCCCCACAGTGTTCCACTGGAACGATGTGCGGTAGGCAGGTTGTCGGTCCCCCCGATATGTGCACTGTTGGATGACTTCCAAGTGTCCTAGTGCAGTAGCCACATCCGGCCTCTCTCCTCGCCCTTGTCTCCCGTTGGTGAGAGGAGGCTGGGGGTGTCCCAGCACCTCTGGGCTGAGTCTTTCCTCCTTGCAGGAAAAGAAGGCCTTGAAGTTCTCCCCATCCAAGCGCATCTTACGAAGACACAAGAGAGAGTGGGTGATCCCGCCAATATCTGTCTCTGAGAATGGCAAGGGGCCCTTCCCCCAGAGGCTGAATCAGGTAGGACTGTGGCTCCTCCCTGAGAGTCAGTGGGGGCTGGGTGTGTGGTTTCGTGCCACTGAGCGCTTTTCTCTGGCCCTTTGCTGTCGTTGTGATGTACTTGTCACTTTGTCAGCTGCCATTGCTCTTGCTTCCAGCTCAAATCTAATAAGGACAGAGGCACCAAGATTTTCTACAGTATCACGGGGCCTGGGGCAGACAGCCCCCCTGAGGGCGTCTTCACCATAGAGAAGGAGACAGGCTGGCTGCTGTTGAATAAACCGCTGGACCGCGAGAAGATCGCCAAGTATGAGGCAAGTAGCCTGTAGCATCCATTGTACACATCCCCTGAGAGGTGGGGTCCTGGGCCCAGTGGGGAGGGCGGCCCCTGGCTGACCCCCGACCTCTGCACCCACAGCTCTTTGGCCACGCTGTGTCGGAGAACGGCGCCTCGGTGGAGGAGCCCATGAATATCTCCATCATCGTGACAGACCAGAATGACCACAAGCCCAAGTTCACCCAGGACGTCTTCCGGGGGAGCGTCTTGGAAGGGGTGGTGCCTGGTAAGAGGCCTGGGGGAGGGCCAGCCTTTCATTTTCGGGGCCCAGACCTAGCTTTGGGTGGACTTCTGGAATCATGTGATGGTCAGCCCAGACTCTTAAATCCCCATCTCACCTGACCTCCCGGGCTGTGCATCACATTACCTGGGATTCTCTTGGAAATCCAGTGCCAAGACGCCTGGATAAGAGTGGTTCTAGGCCGGTGCCGTAGCTCACTTGGCTAATCCTCTGCCTACGGTGCCAGTACCCCAGGTTCTTGTCCCGGTTGGGGCACCGGGTACTAGTCCCAGTTGCTCCTCTTCCAGTCCAGCTCTCTGCTGTGGCCCGGGAGGGCAGTGGAGGATGGCCCAAGTGCTTGGGTCCCTGCACCCGCATGGGAGACCAGGAGGAAGCACCCAGCTCCTGGCTTTGGATTGGTGCAGCGCCAGCTGTGGCAGCCATTTGGGGAATGAACCAACGGAAGGAAGACCTTTCTCTCTGTCCCACTCTCTCTGTCTATAACTCTGTCTCTCTCTCCCTCACTGTCTAACTCTGCCTGTAAAAAAAAAAAAAAAAGTGGTCCTAGAATAGGACTCTGGAACCTGTGTGTTTGAAGCTTTTCGGGAAGCTTCAGGTGGTCAGCCAAGTTTGGGAGCCACAGCTTTAGAGCTACAAAGATGCGGATTTGAACATGGACTTTGCCTCTTTACCGGCTGTGAGCCTGGGAGTGCTCGTGGCCCCTGAGTGTCAGTCCTCACGTCTAAAAACGGGATTAATGTCACCTGTGGAGAATCGCGTGGGGCCAGCATTTGGCTCAGGGCTGAAGATGCTCACATCCCCTATCAGAGGGCGTGGGTTCAAGTCCCTGCTCTGCTTGCGATGCTGCTTCCTGCTAATGTGCATCCTGGTGATGGCTCAAGTTCCTGGGTCCCTGCCACACACATGAGACACCTGAATGGAGTTCTAGGCTCCTGGTTTTGGCCTGGCCCCAGCTGCTGGAGCACATGGAGAATGAACCAGCAGATATAAGATCTCTGTCTTTTTATGTCTTCTGCCTTTCAAATACATAAAAAGAAAGCTGTGAAGATCACAAATCACACGTGCATGCTCTCGGGTAGCTCGGAGCACCTGACACGAGGTTCTTCAGTGACTGACAGCTCCCAGGAATGCAGCGAAGGCTGAGCGATGTGAGACCGTGGCCGTGGAGAGCAGCCGTACATTGCCAGGGCTGGAGAGGAGGGTGGCAGGGGCTCCCAGAAGACAAGGGAAGCGGGGTCCTGTTCGTGACCTCAGACAGTGCCGGGGCCGGCGGCGGGGTGGGAGTGGGGTCTCCTTCCCTCCCTGACTTGCGGAGAGTTACAGAGGATGGTGAGTTGGTTAAACAGCCCATAACAGAAGTCCCCGAAATAGAAAGGGCTCAAACAAGACGAAGCCTTTTCCTTGCTTTTCTTTATATTCAGGAAGTGTAGTGGTTGCCAGTACAGGCTGGGAACCGGCTTCAAAGTGTGAGAGGCCTGGGTGCCGTCGGTCTTGTCGTGCTGTGTTCCCGAGGTTGCTTCATGGCTGCCCCTGGAGCTGCAGCCGGCACACCTGGAAGTGGGGAAGCATGGGAAGGAGGAGCCCTGTGCCTGGGAAAATGCTTTCCCCGAAGCCAGGTGCCATTCGTTAGACATTGCTCACTTCCCGTGGCCAGAGCTGGCTGCAGGGGGCCACAGGGGGCAGTCCTTGTTTCAGGTGGCCTGGGTCCAGCCTTGAATGAGGGTGTGAGGGTGTTTTTTTTTTTTTTAATATTTATTTGAAAGAGGGGGAGGGAGGGAGGAAGGAAAGAGATCTTTTTCAATCCACTGGTTCACCCCCAAAATGGCCACAACGACCCTGAGCCAGGCCAAAGCCAGGAGCCAGAAGCTTCATTCAGGTCTGCCATGGGAGTGCAGGGTCCTAAGCCCTCGGGCCATGCTCCGCTGCTTTCCCAGGCACAAAAGCAGGTAGATGGATTGGAAGTAGAGCATCCAGGACTTGAACTGGTGCCCGTATGGGATGCCGGTGCTGTGGACAGCGGCTTACCCTGCTGCACCACAGTGCCAGTCCCAAGGATGTGCTTCTAAGAAGGGGAAATGGTGCATGAGTGCCAGCCACAGTCCCTGCCAGGCACTCGCAGGCAGGTCCCAGCCGCTGACCAGGGCACAGCCAAGGAGTCCTGGAGGTGGGTAAGGCTGGAATTGGAGCTGAGAAAGAAATGAACCCACTCACGCCTTCTCCTCCCCAGGCACCCCTGTCATGCAGGTGACGGCCACAGATGAGGACGACGCCATCAACACCTACAACGGGGTGGTTGCTTACTTCATGCACAGCCAAGAGCCCAAAGACCCTCACGACCGCATGTTCACCATCCACCGCAGCACCGGCACCATCAGTGTGGTCTCCAGTGGCCTGGACCGGGAGGTGAGGGCCCCTTTGGGAAGCTGCTGCCTGCCCAGGCTCCCGTCCCTGCTCCCACAGCCCAGGGCCAAACAGTGCCCCCCGCCCCCCGCCATCGCCCCGGCAGCTGGGACGGCGGCCGCTACATCCACAGGCCGCCGTCCTACAGCTCCCTTGGGCTGGTGGCCCGCTGCCAGCGATCTCATTCACTCTCCTCCGGGGCTGAGCAGGCAGCTGGAAAATGCAGACTTTTTATATCTTCTGTAGGTTTTCTCATTTCCTCTCAGCACGGCTCACTTCATGTGTGCGTCGCTCAGATTCGTCCCTTGTGTGCCACAAAGCTGTATGGGCTCTGTGGACCCTGGAGTCGCCTCCTGTTTCCTAATTCATATCTTTGCCCCAAGGCCTGTTCGCAGCTCCCAGGCCAGAGCAGCCAAGGGAAGGGACAGGGCCACCCCAGAGGCACCGTGCGGCCCTGCGGGTCGCCTCCCCCGACCCCTTGCTCCACTTCCTTCCTGGGAGGGTGAGCCATGAGTCAAGGGTTCAGGTGGACATGGAGACAGACAGATGCCTACTCTCCCTCCCACACACCCCGGGGCCATCCACCCCATGGCTGAACTCACCAGGGGCCTGCCCTCTGCATGCTTTCTCCCCCAGAAAGTCCCTGAGTACAGGCTGACCATCCAGGCCACGGACATGGACGGGGACGGCTCCGCCACCACGGCCATGGCCATCGTGGAAATTCTCGACGCCAACGACAACGCCCCCACGTTTGACCCCGAGAAGGTAACGCCTGTTTCCCGCACTAGATGGTGAAGGACCAAAGACTTCCCTTTCTCGGGGAACTCTGTCATCAGCCCGTGACCTTGGGCAGCCCGCCTCTCCTCTCTGCGCCCTGGTCTGTGAGCCCGAGCCCCCGCCATCCCCACTGGGCTGTCCTGTTTCACATGACGTCATCTTGGGCACAGCTGTAGGCGGAGAGCTGGGCACAGACCTCTGTGTTGAAATGAGACCTTCTCACTGGCCCGGGCCCTGCACCTGCCTGCCCTCCCCAGTCAGTGTTTCTAAGCCTCCAGTGACCAAGGACTCGGTGCCAGCCTGAGCGCGACCTCCATTCCGTCTTTAGACATTCAGGCTGCTGCACATTATCGAATCCTGATTAAAAACCTGTTCTGGGGAGGGTGTCTGGCCTAGTGGGGAAGACGCCTGCAACCCACGTCAGAGTCCAGGCCCAAGCCAGGCCCCTCCCAGTGCAGACCTCGGGAGATGGTAGTGATGGCTCAAGTGGTTGGGCCCTTGCCACCCACGTGGGAGACCTGGATTGAGTTCCCAGCTCCTGGCTTCCACTTGGCCCAGCCCTCTTTCTCTATGTCTCAAAGGGGAAAGAAAAAAAAAAAGGATAAAATATGTTCTAAGGAAGCTGATGTCCTAGTCCTTGCCACCTGCCCTAGAACCTCCCCAGAGTTCCTGGTCAGTGCCCCAGTGTTGTCAGGCGCCTTGTCCCTCTTGTCTCCTTCTTTTCGGCTTTCTGGTCACAGCTGGGTGGGTGGCTGCATGTGCCTGGGGCTTGGGAACCCAGACCTGTGATTCCTGGGCATCTGAGCCCTGGGGGAGGGAAAGCAGGCCCACAGCTGCTTTGCTGACACCTGCAACGCTGCTGAGGAGGTTGGTGGTCCAGGAAGGGGCGGAGGGCACGGGCCCCCCGGAAACTGGATGGAGGACTCATGGCTGCCGAGGAGCGGGCCGGCCTGTCGGGGACGGCCACCATCCGCTCTCACTGTGCTGTGCTTCCCACGCTGACAGTATGAGGCGCGGGTGCCTGAGAACACCGTGGGCCAGGAGATACAGCGGCTGACAGTCACTGATCTGGACGGCCCAGACTCGCCAGCGTGGCGCGCTACCTACCGCATCGTGGGAGGTGACGACGGGGACCATTTTACCATCACCACCGACCCCGAGAGCAACCAGGGCGTCCTGACAACCAAGAGGGTGAGTCCAGGTGGTCACCCCGGGGATTTCCAGCTTTTCAGTCTCCAGGCCCAGGGGCCAGCGCTGGCCTGAGGCCGCTTACCCGGGGTTGCACCAGGCCCTTGTGTCGGGGAATCCCTTGTTCCCCATCGGACAGCTCAGAGTCACTGTTGTAACTGAGGACCTGCTGGTGCCGCGTGGCCCTGACCCCGTGTCCAGGGCCGGCCCCAGGGGCTCCTCCCTAGGGGTCTTGGTTTTACTGGAATCTGTGCTGATTTTGTGTTTACTCCCTAAAGCCTATGTAGGTGTCTGGATAGTAAAATGTTCTAGTTCCTTAAGTGTTAGACATAACCTTGCCCCTCAAAACATCTTGTTTCTTTCAGCATTTGCAATTTTTTGTTCTTATTGGGGTATAGCATAGGGTCAAAAAGCCTTTGAATCCAGTTGACGCTTTAAGAGGACAGGCCTCGGGGCCGGCTCTGTGGCACAGCAGGTTAAACTGTCCCCTGTGACTCTGCCATCCAATAGCAGAGCACCAGTTTGAGTCCCGGGACTGTTTCTTTTTCTTTTTTTCTTTTTTTTTTTTTTTTTTTTTTTTTTGGACAGGCAGAGTGGACAGTGAGAGAGAGAGAGACAGAGAGAAAGGTCTTCCTTTTGCCGTTGGTTCACCCTCCAATGGCCGCTGCGGCCAGTGCGCTGCGGCCGGCGCACCGCACTGATCCGATGGCAGGAGCCAGGTACTTACCTGGTCTCCCATGGGGTGCAGGGCCCAAGCACTTGGGCCATCCTCCACTGTACTCCCTGGCCACAGCAGAGAGCTGGCCTGGAAGAGGGGCAACCGGGACAGAATCCGGCGCCCCGACCGGGACTAGAACCCGGTGTGCCGGCGCCGCAAGGCAGAGGATTAGCCTAGTGAGCCGCGGCGCTGACCACTCTGCCTTTTAAATAAATAAATCTTAAAAAGAAAACAGTCCTGATCTCTCCTTGATTTCCTTTATCCACAGTACAGTAGGAAGGATGGCCTGATTTAAAAAGCAGATTTGTGGCCGGCGCCGCGGCTCACTAGGCTAATCCTCCGCCTAGCGGCGCCGGCACACCGGGTCTAGTCCCGGTTGGGGCGCCGGATTCTGTCCCGGTTGCCCCTCTTCCAGGCCAGCTCTCTGCTGTGGCCAGGGAGTGCAGTGGAGGATGGCCCAAATGCTTGGGCCCTGCACCCCATGGGAGACCAGGAAAAGCACCTGGCTCCTGGCTTCTGCCATCGGATCAGCGCGGTGCACCGGCCGCAGCGCGCTGGCCGCGACGGCCATTGGAGGGTGAACCAACGGCAAAAGGAAGACCTTTCTCTCTGTCTCTCTCTCTCTCACTGTCCACTCTGCCTGTCAAAAAATAAAAAAAATTTTAAAAAAAAGCAGATTTGCTGTTGGTGTTTTTTTTAACATGGATTTATTTATTTGAGAGACAGAGTTACAGAGAGGGAGAGCAGAGGCACAGAGAGAGAGGTCTTCCATCCACTGGTTCACTCCTCAGATGGCTGCAATGGCCAGGGCTGGGCCAGGCTGGAACCAGGAGCCAGGAGCTTCATCCAGATCCCCCTGTGGGTGTAGGGACCCCAGAACTTGGGCCATCTGCTGCTGTTCTCCACAAGTGCGTTAGGAGGGAGCTGAATCAGAAGTGAAGTAGCCGGCACTCAAACCAGCGCCCATATGGGATGCCAGAGCTGAAGGTAGTAGCTTCACCTGCTGCACCACAGAGCCAGCCCCAAGAAGCAGTTTTATATAATACTTTATGACCGGGGGCCAGTGCTGTGGCACAGTGGGTTAACACCCTGGCCTGAAGCACCAGCATCCCCTATGGACGCTGATTCGATACCCGGCTGCTCCACTTCTGATCCAGCTCTCTGCTATGGCCTGGAAAAACAGCAGAAGATGGCCCAAGTCCTTGGGCCCCTACACCTGCATGGGAGACCTGGAAGAAGCTCCTGGCTCCTGGCTTTGGATCAGCACAGCTCCAGGTGTGGCGGTCATCTGTGAGGTTAACCAGAGGATGGAAGACTCTCTCTCTCTCTCTCTCTCTCTCTCTGCCTCTCCTTCTCTCTTTGTGTAACTCTTTCAAATAAATAAATAAATCTTTTAAAAAAATTCTTTATGGCCTATTTCAGATTCACTGTCTCCTTTTTTTATAAGAAATACTTTTTTTAAAAAAAGATTTCTCTATTTATTTGAAAGGCAGAGTTATAGAGAGGCAGATGCAGAAAGAGAGAGAGAGAGATCTTCTATCTACTGGTTCACTCCCAAAAGGCCTCAACAATTAGAGCTGGGCCAATTCAAAGCTAGGAGCCAGGAGTTTCTTCTGGGTCTCCCACTTGGGTGCAGGAGCCCAAGAACTTGGATCATCTTCCACTGCTTTCCCAGGCCATTAGCAGGGAGCTGGATGGGAAGTGGAACAGCTGGGACTCGAACTGGTGTCCATATGGGAAGCTGGCTCTGCAGGCAGCAACTTTGCCCGCTGTGCCACAGCACTGGCTCCATAAAAAACACTTTGTGATGCCCCTTTTACATTGTGCAATGAAGCTCACTTATACTATAACTTACCTAACTCAAAGCTTCTAGAAAAATAGAATGCCCAACTGTGAGAAAAGGAGGGAAAAGGAAAACTTACAGGACGAGTTACAGATAAAACGTATTTCCGTATGTAAACCTCAGGGCACAGCTACCCTGGAAAACCTGAGGAGGGGTTGGTGAGTTGCATCTGTTTGTAGAACCATCCAGAAGCAGTGGATGCCGCACATCGCCCTGGCGACTCGTGCCACAAGCAGTATTGATGTCCTTTCACTCTTGAGAAAGTCCTGGACAAAGTAAATGAGGAGCCCCCTTAGCAGCTGCAATCCCAGGAAATGCAGTGTATATTAGAACCACGAACCGCACCAGGAACTCGGGTCATCTGGAAAACATGCTCCAGACCAATGATAAACATGTTTTCCACACTCCTGAACGCTTCCAAAGGGACACTCACGAGTTGCATGGGCTGTGAGGCCCCTTCTTTGTGTCCACAACATTGCGGGACGTGGCATCCCTGCCCTACTTGTAGATGCTGGTGGCACCCCAAGTTCTGACAACTAGAAATGCCTCCATGTTTCCAAAGCACCCCCAGGGGACATCAGCACCCAGCTGGGACCCGAATTTTAGACCTGACTAAGCCAGTTGCCTTTGGGGTGTTCTGAGAGGCTCCAGTAGATGTGCGCGCAGGGACCAGAGGAGGCTCTGGGCAGGATTCTGTCCCTGGGGGCCCCCAACCTCTCGCAGCAGGCCCTTGCCTCCTGGCACCCTCAGCACCCCATGGGGCCTCCTCACCCAATAGTGGTTCAGCCTCTTCTTCCTCTCCCCTCCCAGGGCTTGGATTTTGAGACCAAAGCCCAGCACACCTTGTATGTGGAAGTGACCAACGAGGTTCCGTTCGTGGTGAGGCTCCCAACCTCCACGGCCACTGTGGTGGTCCACGTAGAGGATGTGAACGAGGCCCCCGTGTTTGTCCCGCCTTCCAAAGTCATCGACGTCCAGGAGGGCATCTCTGTCGGGGAGACCGTCTGCGTCTACACCGCGCAGGACCCCGACAAGGAGGAGCAGAAGATCAGGTACTTGGAGCTGGGCTCTGCCGGCCAAATGCACAGGTGCGCTTGGGTGGGTGGTTCTCAGTACCGTCAGGGTTGGTCAGTGTTCCGACCATCACCCTGCCCAGGACCTGGCCTTCCTACGCTTCCGGAGACAGGAGACCCCGAGGAGGGGCCCGGAGGGCAGATGTTTCTTCTCTCACAGCCTCCGCTGTCCCCCCACCTGCTGCTGGAGTCCATCTGCCGGTCAGCATGAGTGAGGAGGCTTTGAGTGACGACAGCAGAACTCTGAGTGTTCTGAATGTGGTTCTCACCTTTCCCTGTGCAGCTACCACATCCTGAGGGACCCAGCAGGGTGGCTGGCGATGGACGCCGACAGTGGGCAGGTCACGGCTGCAGGCGTCTTGGACCGCGAGGATGAACGGTTCGTGAGGAACAACATCTACGAAGTCACGGTCTTGGCCACGGACGACGGTGAGAGCCTCCTTCCAGCCCTCCACAAGGGCCGTCCTTGGTTCTCGGTCCTGCACACAGCTCTTCCCTCTGTAGCGGGGGGTCCTGGGGTGGGGGATGGAGAGGGCACCAGCACACCACTCACGGCCACGGGGCCTTTTGGAAAAACTGGTCCTCGGGTGCCCGGCCAGGAGTCCAGTTCCCTGAGCCCTAGATTAGCCTGTCAGTTTCCCCTTGTGATTGATTGATAGGCACACAGGGGAGGGGGGTAGTTCTGATGTAACCTTCTCTGTCTGACATATAGGGAGCCCGGGGCTGCACGAAGGGGAGAGAGGTTACAACAGGGCTAGGAAGGGAAGGATCCCTGAAGCTGATCAGCAAACACTGGACTGGTCCTGAGGTGCCCAAGAGGTTTTACTTAGCGATAGATTAGCGTGGCTGTCTGGATGAAATGGCTCAGTTGTGCTGTGATTGGCTAGTAATGTCTGCTGTGGGCACAGATTAGAATGATAGTGTGATTATCATGCATTTGCCATCACCATCTTGACCCATAGTGAAGCTGGGGCGTGGAGGGACTTCAGAGGTCAGAGCTGGGTGGTAATCAAGTCATAAGAGAGCTTGAAATTGATTCATCTACCAATGAAGGCAAATGCTGAAAATAAATCATGTGTGTAATTGTAACAGGGAGCCCTTCCACCACTGGCACCGGGACCCTCCTGCTAACACTTACCGACGTCAACGACCATGGCCCAGTCCCTGAGCCCCATCAGATCACCATCTGCAACCAAAGCCCTGTACCCCAAGTACTGAACATCACAGACAAGGACCTGTCCCCCCACTCCTCCCCTTTCCAGGCCCGGCTCAGTCACGACTCGGACATCTACTGGACAGCAGAGGTCCATGAGAAAGGTAACTGGGTGGTGGGAGCAGGTGGGCACCATGCTGGTTCCTGTCCCAGCTGCTGCTCCACTTCCAGTCCAGCTCCCTGCTGACGTGCCTGGGAAAAAGCAGCGGAAGATGGCCCAAGTGCTTGGGCCCCTGCCACCCATATAGTAGACCCAGATGAAGCTCCTGGCTCCAGACTTTGGCCTGACCCAGTGCTGGCCATTGCAGCCATCTGGGGAGTGAACCTGCAGATGGAAGATCTCTCTCTGTCTCTCTCTGTCTCTGTCTCTCTCTCTCTCTAACTCTGACTTTCAGGGTGAATAAGCCGTGTGTGTGTGTGTGTGTGTGTGTGTGTGTGTGTATGATTATTTTGAAAGGCAGAGTGACAGAAAGAGAGCTGGTTTGTTCCCCAAAGCCCCCACCAGACTGAAGCCAGGAGCCAGGAACTCCATCCCGGTCTCCCATGTGGGCGGCAGGGCCCTAAGTACTTGGGCCTTCATCTGCCGCCTCCCAGACATGTGAACAGGAAGCAGAAGCACAGGCGTGGGACCTGACCCCAGGCACCCCGAGCAGTGGCACCAGTGCCCACTCAGCACCAGAATCGTAACCCAGGCCGTCACATTTGTGAGATGCTCTGCTGGCTACCATGTGGGGAGCCTGGAGATACACAAGACGCCGCTGCTTGCTTCTCCCTTATTTGCTGTTTCTACCAGGCTCTGCGGTTGGATTTTGATCCCTATTTACAGATGAAAATGAGACCTGGGGTGGTTAAGGAGCAGCCCAAGGGTGCAGGGTAGTTAAATGGTGGGAGCTAAGGCCAGGCTTTGACTCCAGAGGCGCTGGCAGCCCTGCGCCACCCGCTTCCCTGGCTGCCGTTTTCCCGTCCGCCAGCTCAGAGCAGCTCCGCCTTCAGGGGTTGCTCGTGCTGTGAGGCCTGGGGAGGGGGCAGTGAGGCCTCCCCCTGCTCCTGAGGCACAGGAGGGCGGTGGGGAATCCCTGTGGCTTTGCATCCAGAAGCCAAAGGACTCGGGAGAGCTGTTCCAGACACCCCTGTCGTCTCTTTTGTATTTATTCATTTTTGCTTATTTGGAAGAGAGACAGACGTAGACTGACAGACAGAGTGCTTCCATCTGCTGGTTCATTCCTCAAATGCCTGCAACAGCCGGAGCTGGGCCAGGCTGGAGCCAAGAGCCAGAAACTCCATCTGGGTCCCCCATGTGGGTGGCAGGGGCCCCAGTATTTGGGCCAGCACCTGCCGCCTCTCATGGTTCTCATTAGCAGGAAGCTTGAATTGGAAACAGAGCTGGGCTCGAACCCAGGCTCTCCAACAGGGATGCCGGCATCCCAAGGGACAGCTTAACTGCGGCGCGAAATGCCCGCCCCGTCTCGTCTTCACGATGCCCGAGATGTGGGTGTGGATTCCCAGGGCCTTTCCTTCAGGGAGTCCTTGTTGGTCTCCTGTCACCCCCCTGTGGCCTCGAAGCCATTTTCCCCCTTCCTTGAAGGTGTCCTGTGTAAGAGCCCCGAATCAGGGCCACGGTGCGTTCGTCCAAGGCCTGCTCCCTCCCGCTCCTGTTCACTACTGACTCGCAGGATGGCGTCGCTGCTTGTCCCCACTGTGACGACGAAGCCAGCGAGTGCAGGCAGAGCGAATGGCTGGGCTCAGTGCTCAGTGCTCAGTCCGTGCGGGTGGCCTCTGCCCACACGGGCACTTCCCAGGCGCAGTCAGGATCCAACCCCTTCCCCCACGGCATGGCGGTGCTGACGTGTGCGACGTGAGAGAGAGAGACAGAGAGAAAGGTCTTCCTTTTGCCGTTGGTTCACCCTCCAATGGCCGCCACGGCCAGTGCGCTGTGGCTGGCGCACCACGCTGATCTGATGGCAGGAGCCAGGTACTTATCCTGGTCTCCCATGGGGTGCAGGACCCAAGCACCTGGGCCATCCTCCACTGCACTCCCTGGCCACAGCAGAGAGCTGGCCTGGAAGAGGGGCAACCGGGACAGAATCCGGCGCCCCGACCGGGACTAGAACCCAGTGTGCCGGCACCGCAAGGCGGAGGATTAGCCTAGTGAGCTACAGCGCCGGCCCTCTGCTTGGTCTTAACGTCGCTTTTCTGCTAGCCCAGGCCCTGCTCTCAGGGAAATGAACCTATGCCTCGCCTCCGTGCCCGCAGCCCAGTGATGGCCACTCTAGGCCCCGCCTTCTGCTTTTGTGAAAAGAGCTGGATAGCAGAATGTGGGATTCGCCACCAGAAACAGAGGGAAAGGAGGTTTGGACGACGTACCCTCGCCCCCCGAGCCCCTCTGCCCTGCGGCCCAGAGCTCTGCCCTCCAGCTTTCACAGCCAGAGGAGCCCAGTGAGAGAGCGGACGCTTGGAGAATGGCTCGAGGTCAGCGCTGTACTAGGCCAGCGGCCCAGGAGATGGAGTTAGAGAGGCCGTGATGGGTGGGTGGAAGATGCTGCTGGCATCTGGTGGCAGGGCCCTGCGGTACCCATGAGAGTGCAGGGCCCAAGCGCTCGGAGTGTCTTCCCCTGCTTTCCCAGGCCATTAGCGGGGAGCAGGATCAGAAGTGGAGTGGCTGGGACTTGAACCGGCGCCCATATGGGATGCCAAGGCTGCAGGCTGCAGCTTTACCAGCTCTGCCACAGCGCCAGCCCCCAGTGTACATTTTTGGAACTTCAAGACGTTCATGGGAAAATGAAATTAGTTTACTTTGGTGCAAAAACAGATGGAAGTCCAAGCCTGGTTCTTGCGTAGTGCGCGTTGTCTGTGAACGTTTCGAAGACCCCTCTTAGTTCTCCGCATCGCCCAGGCGCGGTGGCTGCGCTGGGACCTCCCTGGGGTGTCGTCGGTTCCCACCAGGCTAAGGAAGCATCTGTCCCCTCCAGGAGACACGGTGGCCTTGTCCCTGAGGAAATTCCTGAAGCAAGACACATACGACGTGTACCTGTCCCTGTCTGACCACGGCGACAGGGAAGAGCTGACGGTGATCAGGGCCACCGTGTGCGACTGCCGCGGCCACGTGGACACCTGCCCCGAGGGCTGGAACGCGGGCTTCGTCCTCCCTGTCCTGGGGGCTGTGCTGGCTCTACTGCGTGAGTTCTTGGCCCCTGCCCCTGTCCCGCCCTTCATGTTCACCTCGGAAGCTTGGGCTAGAGGCACCGCTGAGACATTGCCCTCTGGTCCCTACACTCTGGATTCCCGGAGCACCGCTCAGCCCCTGGGTATTTCCGGAGCTTCTGGAATGTGCCAGGCCTCGGAGACGTGGGGATGGGCAAGCAGACATGGCCCTGTCGTGCGGCCTGAGGTTTGGGCAGTGGTCCTGGGTCATCGCCAGACCCACAGCGTCCGCCAGACCCACAGCGTCCGCCAAACCAGGCATCCGTGAGGAGGGCGTGGAGCCGGTAGTGTGAATCCTAACAGGGCCTCCCTACAGGCTCTGACTCGTGGGGACTCCACGTGGGAAAGAGGATTAAAGATAATATGGGGCAGGAGCCTGATGAGCGAGCAGGATGCCGCTGGGGTCCTCCGCGGGGACTCGTTGCAGTGCCCTCGGCCATGGCCGAACTCCAGACCCACAGGCCTGGGGGGCGGAAGCCTTGGGCTAATGGGAATTCCTTTCCCTGGAGGGCCCCCCCTTCCCCGTTGCTGTCTCCACTCTGATGCCGTCCTTACACAGGAAACCCGTGTTCCGTCGGGGGTGAAGGAGAAACGGCAAGCTCTCCTCTGTGGGCACACAGCACACCGCACACAGCACAGTGCACGCCTCCCCGGGCTCCACGGGAGGCCGGTGGGGCTGGACCTCGGGGGTGGGGGGAGCCAAATCAGCAGCTCTGCTTGGGAGTTGGGGCTTCTGGGTACAAGGGGTTACACTTTGGCTGCTGAGTGGCGGGATGGGGAATTGGAAGGGCTCTGGGCCGCGTGGCGCGTGCTGCATGGTGCGTGCTCACACCCCGACTCCCGCAGTCCTCCTGCTGGTGTTGCTCTTGTTGGTGAGAAGGAAGCGGAAGGTCAAGGAGCCCCTCCTGCTCCCAGAAGACGACACCCGCGACAATGTCTTTTACTACGGCGAAGAGGGTGGCGGTGAGGAGGACCAGGTGAGACGCCAGGGGACTGAGGGGGCCGGAACGGCTGGGTCAGTCCACTCGCCGCGATAGCGCCATCGCCCAGCACGGCACAGGGCATCTGCCTCTGCAGGATCCACACCCAGCACTCCCCCCTCCAAGAGGGGTCTGGTCCATTGCCTCAGTCCTTCGACCCCCCAGCCTGTGCTTAGCTGGGGTGGGGCAGGGGAGGGTGGAGCCCCAGCTCTCTGTCTTCCGAGACCTGCCCTTGAACCAGAGTGTCCAGAACGGTGGGGGAGCGGCAGGAGTGCCTCTCACGCCCCTGCTCTCTGCTCTTCCCCAAGGACTACGACATCACCCAGCTCCACCGCGGCCTGGAGGCCAGGCCCGAAGTGGTTCTTCGCAATGACGTGGCCCCGACCTTCATCCCCACCCCCATGTACCGCCCTCGGCCAGCCAACCCAGACGAGATCGGCAACTTCATCGTGGAGGTGAGCCCTGCCGGGCCGACCTAGGCCCAGCCTAGCGGCACAGGGGAACAGACAGGAGCACAGCATCCCGGCCCTGGGTTCAAATCCTGGCTCCACTGGCCATGCCTCAGTGGTGTGACCTCTGGCGCATTTGCATAACCTCTGGGCTCCTGTGTCCTCCTGCAGAAAGCCTGAACGTGCACACCGCCCAAGAAGGGAGCAGGATGGTGTATTCATTTATTCCGATGTGGTGGTGGTTAGAATACTGTGGGCCAGACCAGCTGGGTCTGCATGTTTGAAGTCTGCAGGTGGCCCAGAGCGGAAGGAAGCTCAGAACCTTTGCTTTAGGTGACTTCCGGGGTGGAATGGCGGTGGGTTGGCTCCCGAGCCAGCCTGCACATCCAAGTCGCCTGGGACCCCCGATACCTCTGCCTGAGCCCCAGGGTCCGGGGCTCCGCTGACCTGGGTGTCGCAGTTTTGAAGGACTGCCCAGGGGATCTGACCGCTGGGCTAGCACAGCCCTTGTTAGGCATTGGCCATGGCGGCTGCTGCTCACGTCTGAACTCTGGTGCACGTGGGATTTATCTGAAGAATTTTGAAAAATATCGGTGCCAAGGACCCAGGCATTCAACTTGTTGAGGCTCTTCTATTAAAAAAAGTATTTATTTATTTGCAAAGCAGAGTTACAGAGAGATCTTCCATCCACTGGTTCACTCCTCAAATGGCCTCAATGGCCTGGGCTGGGCTAGACTAGGCGGAGGCTCCCTTAGACCTGCCACGTGGGTGACAGAGGCCCGAATACTCAGGCCATCTGTGTTTTTCCCCCAGGCGCATCAGCAGGGAGCGGGATTAGAACCCAGGATTTGAACCAGTGATCCTATGGGATTCTGCATCCCAGGAGGCAGCTTGGACTACTGCGCCACGATGCCAGCCCCCGAGTCTCCGCTACTTTAACTCCCCATGCCCCAGTGTGGCGATGCAGTGGGTTAAGCCAGTCTCTGCATGCCAGCATCCCATATGGGTGCTGGTTCGAGTCCCCGCTGCTCCACTTCCAGTGCAGCTCTCTCTTTATGTACCTGGGAAAGCAGCAGAAGGTGGCGCAAGTGTGAGGGCTCCTGCACCCATGTGGGAGACCCAAGAAAACTCTAGACTCCTGGCTTCCGCCTGGCCCAGCCCTGGCCATTTTGGCCATTTGGGGAGTGACCCAGTGGACAGGAAATGTCTCTGTCTCTCTCTGTCTCTAACCCTGCCTTTCAAGTAAATAAATAAATCTTTTTTTTGGAAAGAAGTTCATTAAAAATTAAAATTTAAAAAAAAAAAAAAACACTACTCTCACGGAAATCCGTTGTGCAGCCAGGGTTGTGAGCAGGGTGAGGGAGACCCACGGGGCGGGGGTGGGGTGGGGGCGCGGGGGGGTCCCTGCTGGGAACCACACGGCCTGGTTCCTACCCAGCAACCAGTGATCGAGGTTCTTGATAACAGGAAAAGGCAGAAGAGGAAATGCATTGAAACTCAGACGGGGCGAGTGCCGGCAGCAGCAGCAGCAGCCAGGCTGCCTCAGCCTGACTCGGCCTCCGTCTCCTGCCCGCCCTCCCTGCCTTCCAGAAACCGGGCGGAGCTGAGCCTCCGTTCTTGAGCTTGAGGACCTTTGAGAGAGTGCTGTGCCCAGGCCAAGGGCAAGGGCAGGGGGGTGTGCAGCAGGCACCTGCGCAGGCCCTGGAGCTTCCTCCCCAGTACAGGAAGGCGGTTTGCAAGTTCTATCTCATTTAACGCCCCCTCCCTCGTACAACGCCGGGCACTGTTCTGGCGACAGCGCCTGCTTTACCCACTCATTTATTCGGCTGAAGCCGAGTGAAGGGTCACCGCTTTACGGACAAAGAAACAGGTGCATAGAGCAGCAGCTCGGAGCCCTGCCCAGGGTCACAAAGCTGGTGTGTGACGGCCCAGTCCCTGTCCTTAGCCGCGGGCTGAGCATCTCCCAAACCCTCGGGGAGCTGGCCTCACGGGGGAGGGCCTTCCCCGCCCGGCCCCTAACCTGCCCTCTGTCCCCCAGAACCTGAAGGCGGCCAACACGGACCCCACGGCGCCGCCCTACGACTCCCTGCTGGTGTTCGACTACGAGGGCAGCGGCTCGGACGCCGCCTCCCTGAGCTCGCTCACGTCCTCCGCCTCGGACCAGGACCAGGACTACGACTACCTCAGCGAGTGGGGCAGCCGCTTCAAGAAGCTGGCCGACATGTACGGCGGCGGCCAGGACGACTAGGCCGAGGCCTCGGACCCTGTGGGGCAGGGGCCTCAGCAGCTCGGACGTTCGAAGGGTCGGGTCCTGAGCCTTCCGGGGTGGAAGCTTCTGGACGACGTGGTCTGGACACCGCGGCCGAGGTCGGGGTTGGCTCAGAGGCCACGCCTCCTTCAGGCTCTCCACCTGCCACAAATGCCGTCCATGCAGGACCCTGGAGCAGCCTCTGCACCTTGGAGGCTGCTTCTTGCAACCTTTTTTTTTTTTTTTTTTTAATGCTGCCGTCAGAGTGAGAGGCGGGCGCTCTGCGGTCCCCAGAGGCCCCGCCTTTCTCCCCGCCCCCAGGTCCAGGCCCGCCCCCATGGGTGGACCACTGCATTTTTCACACCGTGGGTCTAGGTTGTCCTTTATTTTCTATTTCCCCTGTCATGTGCTGTAGTGGAAGGATGATGACAATCGTGTAAATGTACTAGGACTATTTTATTAAAGAAACGTTTCCCAGAGGTGCCAGGGGAGTGACCTTTCTTACACACAGCAGTTTTACTGACCTTTATCTCACCCACCCGCCTGCCCCACCACCCCTGGCCCAGGGGCGCGGCTGAGTGGTTTGAGTCTTCGGGCTGCGCAGAGGGAGTGAACTCTGTAAAGCTGCTCTCACCCCAGCTTCCTCCGACGGTGGAGGGAGGGGTCCAGGGTTAGCTTCGTGCCCAGGCGGGGTCGCGGAGCAGGGATTGGGGCAGCCCTTCCGCTCCCCTGTGTGAGACCCTGTAACCCCTTCCCCGGGACTGAGCCCGGCCACCTAACCTCCACTTGCCTCCGATTATTCCTTGCTCGCAAAGCGGGGAGTCCTGTGGTGGGTGACTGGGTGACCGCCTGGCCCGCTGAGTCAGCACATCCGGGCCACGCGCCCTTTCCCTTCCGTGATCTCTCTAAAGGAAGCCTCACAGCCTCCTTCCAAGGGGAGAGTCCTCTTTAAAGAGTGGCCTCATTGTCGGGGGGGGGGGGGGGTCCTTTTTTTTTTTTTTTTAAGATTTGTTTTATTTATTTGAAAGAGTTACAGGGAGAGAGACAGGTCTTCCATCCACTGGTTCACTCCCCAGATGGATGCAACAGCCCGGGCTGGGCCAGGCTGAAGCCAGGAGCTTCTTCCAGGCCTCCCACAAGGGTGCAGGGGCCCAAGCACTTTGGCCATCTTCCACTGCTCTACCAGGCCATTAGCATGGAGCTGGATCAGAAGTGGAGCAGCCCAGTCTCAAGCCAGCACCTGTATGGGATGCTGGCATCGCAGGTGGCGGCTTAGCCCCCTAAACCACCACGCCGGCCCCCTCGTTAAAGTAACAACTGGTTGTCATCAAAATCGAGCAAAACAGAACATCGGAGAACACACTCGGGGTGTCAGTGAACAGTGAAATCCCCGCCTTGCCAGCGCACAGAGGGAGAATCAGCAGGGACAGAATAGTTCCGTTTGTGCCTTCGTAAAAGTGAAATTCAAAATGTTCGCTTATCCAAAATCAAAGAAGCTGAAGGAATTGCCAAAGCAAGTGTTGACTTCCCCCGAGAGTCATTTCCTACAGCAGGGCCAACCTCGCCGGCTCAATCAAACGCCAGGGCCAGGGCCAGGGCCTGAGCCGGCTGCAGCCTGCAGGTGAGGCTGCTGCACCCTCCGCTCTTTCTGAAGCATGAGGCTGGGGCTGTCCTGCAGCCTCAGATCCCAGACGAAGACGCCAAAGGGAATTCAGTGAGGGTGGGAAACCTCCACGTGCCCGGGGCCACAGCACCCGCGCCCTTGGACCGAGGCTGCCTCCTGCCTCCTCTGGAGCCGCAGCCGCTGGTTCCCTGGGCCAGGGCGCGCCTGCTCCAGCTGATACAGGCACGGGAGGCCTGGGGCCTCCACCAGCGGCACCTGCTGCTGCTCCTTGTCTTCGCGGCCCCTCTGAAGAGCTTGCACAAAGCAGGGAGCCGTGTCTCCGGCTGCGCCCAGTAACAGCCAGAGAGCTGGTGCCCAGGCCCCTTGCTCCTGAGCTCCCTGGAGGGAGTTGAGGAGGAAAACCGGCCCAGCCCGGCCCCGGGGTGGATCCAGCTCCCACTGGCGATGGCACCAGTCACGTCCTCTGACTGGGACAGACAGGCCTGGGCTCCGTGATGGGGCCGCGGTGACGCTGCTCTCTCGCTGGGCCGCCTTCTCGGCTCCCCGATCCTCAGGGCCTGGAACAAGAAGCCAGAACAGTCGGAGCCTAGAGTCCCCCGGGGCTCTGCACGCCCCGTGGGTGTGACTGTAGGAAGCCAGCACGGCCGCCCGCGCTAATGACGACCACATGGGCGTCTCTGGGCCCTCCATCCCGGCTGTGGTGCAGCACAGTGTCTCGTCCAGGTGAGTTTCTCGCTCGTTTGGCGCCGCACCTTTCCATAAGCGGGCACTCAGCCGCCTGCCTCCAGCACCCGCGGTTGGACCGTGTCCTTACTCAGTCTCCCCACCCACAACTGTGACTTTTGCCCTGCAAACCCCGCGGAGTGTCGGCCTCTGCGGGTGCTCTAAAGCCAGGCCTTCAGCCCACTGGGGACAGCCGCGGCGAGCGTGGCCACGAAGGGGGCCGCCCCAGCCTCATCCAACCCACGTGTCTCACACCCTCCCTGGGCAGAGCGCTTCAAAAACGGCCCCTGCTGGAAGCAGATGGCAGATCCGTGGATGGCGCTCCCCAGGTGCCCTCGGCAGGGCCAGGCCTCACTTCACACCGGCCTTGTCGCTGACCCACCGTCTTCTCTCCCTCCCAAAGCACCTGTCTCCCCTAGGTGGGCTTTGGCCAGGCCCTGGAGGGTCCCTGACCCCGGCCATGCTAGGCGTCCTGGGCCACAGAGGGGCACAGGAGGAGGCGCAGCCAAGGGACAACTGAGAGGGCCTGGGGGCCTCCACCAGGGCACCTGCCGCTCCTTGTCTTCAAGGCCCCTCGGAGGGGCTTGCACAACACAGGGAGCCCTGCAAGCCCACCCCAGGAAGCCCTTCAGCCCACCCCTGTGCATCCAGTTTTGCTCAGGACCCCCTGGGGGCCAACTTCCCTTTGGATTAAGGGCAGAACCTACTTCGTTGTCTCCTACTAAAATCCACCGACGGCCATAGTTCAGGGCACAAGGTACAATCCCGGCTCTGCCAGGCTTGAGGCCTTGGGAAAACCCTTTAACCTCCTTGTGCCTCAGTCTTCTCATCTGTAAAAAGGGGGCTCACTGAGATCTCACCTGCAAAGTACCTGGGAGGGTGCCTGGCACGTGTTACTGTTGCAAAGACTGGTACTGTGGTGGTTGAGGGGCATCAGGGCCAGTTACAGCTCCTTTGTCTCCATACCCACCCGGGGTGGAAACCCACCTTCCTGCACGAAGAATTCCCTGAGATCCTCCCCTCCCTGGGGGACTGCTTGTTCTCAGCCACTATCATTTCTCCAAAAGCCTTTTCCCCTCGTGTCCAGCAGAGGGCACCATTCACTCAAAGCAGAACTCCAGCGGCAGCCGGGGCCCCTCCCAGCCTGACTGACCTGGGGCCGGATCTGCAGGCAGAGGCCAGGACACAGCGGTCCCCCTGGCCACGCAGGCCCAGAACTGCCCTGGATGCTGGTGAACGTAGTGATGGAGGTGGTCAGAATTGACTGGACTGTGAGTGGCACGGCCTGCACGCCCAGGGAGTGCATGTGTGTGCGTGGACCCCCGGCCATATGCCCAAGCCCCACCCAGTGATTCCCCCCCCCAAAGAGCCTTCAGCCAGCCTCCCTCTGGCCTAGGAGTACAGCCCTGGATGGAGAAGGCAGAGAACTCGGACCCAATAGTCACAACTCTTCACTCCAGGGAGACAGGCAGAGGGCCAGAGGTACTTTCTGCCCAGTCGAGGGGATCCTCAGTGGTTGCAGACCACAAAGAAGATAAATCAGTGAAACACATGGTACAATAAAAGTGAGGCTGTGCCACCGGCGCTGTGGCGCGGTGGGTTAAAGCCACGGCCTGCAGCGCCAGCATCCCATATGGATGCCGGGTGGAGTCGTCTGCTCCACTTCCGATCCAGCTCCCTGCTAACGTGCCTGGGAATGCAGCAGAGGATGGTCTAAGTGCTCGGGCCCCTGCACCCACATGGGAGACCTGGAAGAAGCTTCTGGCTCCTGACTTCACCCCGGCACAGCCCAGCCATTGTAGCCACTTAGGGAGTGAACCAGCGGATGGAAGATATTTCTCTCTCTCTGTCTCTCCCCCTCTTCCTGTAACTCTGTCAAATGCATAAGTAAATCTTAAGAACAAGCAAACAGAAAGTGAGGCTGTGTCGGGAAACAAGAGCTGGTGTGGGGGCTGGGTAGCCAGGAGAGGCCTTGCTGAAAAGGTGGCATTAGAGCTACCAGGGAGCAGCAGAGCGGCAGGCGGGCATGTCATATCTCAGGGCAGCAACAGTGGGTGCAAAGGCCCTGAGGCAGGGAGGCCGGTGTGACGAGATCTGAGGAGGTGAGGTCAGACAGGTATGGTACAGGGCTCAGGGTGTTGGGGCTCAGGCTGGAGGCTGAGTTCAGAGCCAAGCCCAGTCCCAGAACGCGTGGGAAAGGCCCAACTCAGCGCTACCAACGAGCTGGCGAAACCTCATTCTTCCTGAGCCCTCCTCAGCCACTGAGGAGGTGGCCGACCTGTCTGAGCCTGCACCCGGCCCCAGGGCTGGCTCTGGGACCTCAGGACCCGCAGAGGAGCCTGTCAGAGGGGACCTCTGGGCTGGTGGAGCAGAGCCATGGCTCAGTGCAGCCCCTCAAGGTTGCAGATTGGGGGGGGGGGCATGCTAGGCTGACCTCCAGGTGGGGCGTGGCCAGCGCTCTGCATCCGGCTCTGCCTGGCTGTGATCGGGGCTCAGCAGGTGGCAACTGCGGACTATTGTTGTTGCTGGCGATTGAGGCCCCTCCAATCAGGGATGAGCACAGAGCTGCCCAGCCCCTCAGCTCCTGGCACCCCTGTGCCCACTGCCCAGCAGGCTACAGGGGTGTGGTGGGTGGGGAGGAATCTGAGAAAGGGTGGGTGGGCTGGGAATGCTGGGGCTTGGGTCCAGCCCTTCCGGTCCCACTGACTTCCAGTAAACCATGGTCAGCAGCTGGAGGGCAGGGCGGGCGGGGCCTCCCCTGTCACCCGGGGAGCTGAAGGCCCTGGGGCAGAAGCTGGCACCGATCACGGCGGAGAATGTGCGTGTCTGTGTGCCAGCTTCACAGTGCAGACAGGAGGAAAGTCAGGACTTTAACACTTAAACCTAGCTTTTTTTTTTTTTACAGGCAGAGTGGACAGTGAGAGAGAGAGAGAGAAAGGTCTTCCTTTTGCCGTTGGTTCACCTCCAATGGCTGCTGTGGCCAGCGCGCTGCAGCCGGCGCACCGCGCTGATCCAAAGCCAGGAGCCAGGTGCTTCTCTTAGTCTCCCATGGGGTGCAGGGCCCAAGCACTTGGGCCATCCTCCACTGCACTCCCGGGCCACAGCAGAGAGCTGGCCTGGAAGAGGGGCAAC